AGTGACCTTCTAAGTTATTCTAAGTATCGTATATATGCTTGTTTCTCAGATTAGCTGATTAATTTAACCAGGGAATATGAAGAAGGGTGTATGTATGTATGCATGTGTGTGTGCATGTGAAGGCGTTCTGTTCCTGAATAAATGACATCTGAGTTTCGCTCTCACCTCTATCAATTAGGTTTAACCTATGCACTTTTATTCACAAAACCCAGACAACACATCACTATCTTAATTCATTATCTCAAGGACATAACCACTAGTTAAAGCAATAAGAAGACGTAATTTGTCAGACAAATTACGTCTTCTTATTGCTTTATCTAAATTCATAAAGGGAACTAATTGTTTTAAAATAACCACTAGTGTTAACGTCATCACATATGGTGAAAATCAATAGTAATAACATTTGACATACTGGGAATGATTCACAAGATTAAGAAGCATGCAGATTAGCAATCTATTTATTAAAAAACATACGGATCGACATTAATATTAGTCATATTTTGTGTTTTGTAGGGCCTAATTTGAACGTAGAATTTTGTCAACTGACTATAAGCTGAGAGTGTGAGAATTTCGGTTTAATAAGAACTACTTAGGTTAAAGCTACTAGCACTAAATACCGAAACATCAATAAAAACAGTATCGTTTTGGTTACAGGATTTCATCAGCATGAGCTGACAACGGTCAGAGGACCATTGGAAAACTTGTTGACCTCCACACAGACTTGAAAGTAATAAAAGCTTGTCTTGCTTTCCCGATGATCTTCGCTGCTTTGATATCATCATCAGTTCCATCCGCCTATAGGTGAAACGATGCTTCCCAGGTGGGTTAGGTGGGTAGGTGAAGGAAGTTGTTTCTTTCTCATTTCTCCCATTAATGCCGACTGAGTGTTGTCTGTTGTTGTTGGCCAGGAATCTTCATCACCTACATCTGTTTCCTCTATGTTCACCTGAAAGGATTCTTATCTTCTCTGGATGCTTCTTCTACCGCCAACTTGTTGCTTTTTACTTGCACACCTTCGAGTTTGTGGGAAATCAGACACGTATCATCGACGAAGTTCAGATCTTACAAGTTTTTTTTGCCTGGGTCCATTTTATGCCTGTTTCCTCGCTGCCCCCCCCCCCCGCTGTTTGTCGCATAATCCAGCCTACCGCAATCAGGACAAGAAGTCACTATTTATAAAGATTATACGCTTACTTGCACAACTAAGTTATAACATCTTAACGATACCCTGCATGACCTCAGTTCTATGTGACATAGAGTTAGTGTTAAACGTGAAGCTCACAACTTACTTTAATTTTTTTTTATTACAGCTTGATTCCACACTGTATTTTTGGTACAAGTATGGAATTTTCAGCATGGATATCGGTAGACCTAATTTTGCAGGCCGACCATAGATATCAGGTGTGCGTCAGTAGGGGATCAAACCCCGGACCATGTACATGGTCGGCGAGTGTCCTAGCCACTGTGCCACCGACGCACTGTGTTATTAGCATGAAAAAATTGCTTAGTTATTCTCCTATTTTTTAGCGACATTCACTATCTCTATTATCTCACAATTTTATTTCTTATTAAAACTATTATTATTATTATTATTTCACATTTGTTTTCTATAATTGGTTTGTAAGGGTTAGTTTTGCTTTTACGAGTTGATCACGGATTAATATCAGTTAGAGAACCATTGAAAACCAACAAGGAGTACTGGACAGCTGTTTCATTCTAGTTTGGGAATCATCGGCAGTATGCACCAACTGAAGTTCGAACCCAGGACCTTATGGTTACAAAGCAAGCTCGTATGCCATTCAGCCACTGGTGCGTACTGTCGACGATTCCCAAACTGGGATAAAACAGCTGTCCAGTACTCCAATGCTGGTTTTCCAATGGTTCTCTAACTGATATCAATCCGTGGTCAAACTCGTAAAAACAAACTTAATCTTTACAAACCAACTATAGAAAATTAATCTGATGCTCGCTAGTAACTTCCTACAGGATGGAGTTTCCTGGAGTTCTAGTGAGAAGACGTAACCAGTGAGATCAATCCAGTCAAGTGTGAGGATGAATGTCCCACCGATGACATTGGTTGGTGCCAGTCGCACTAAATCATGAATTGATGGAAGTTAGAATTCATGGATTGGGCATTGAATCGGGTTGCTTACCGCCAGTGGCTGAATGATATACGAGCTTACTGTCGTTGTAATCGGAAGGTCCTGAGTTCAAACTCTGTCGGTGGGTGAGTACTGCCGATGATTCCCAAACTAAGACTTTCCATTTGCATATGTTGTTCCTATTGTTTCTGCTTATGTCAAACGTTATTACTGTTATCAATTTCGGATGAGATTTATTTTTTCTGTTGTTTCTGTTCACTAAATTAGAGGCACCATTGTGCGAAATTCTGAAAATTCCACACTGTGTCATAACTATTATTTTGGAATAAAAGCAAATCAATATTATTATTTAATTCAATTTTAGATTTTACCGTCGATTGATTGGACCGAAGTGCTCGGTCTAAGGTTGACATGTTGCTCCTTGTGCTGATGCTTCGACGATGTCTGGGCCATGCAACTAGAAGTTAATTAGTGAAGAGTGACTAGTAGTGGCATCCAGGATATGCACTTCATCTTATTTGGGACTCATCAAATGGATATACCTGTATTCCCCACCAAGGCTCGAACCCAGTGCCCATAGTTTCAAATGCCAGCATTAATCGACGGGAAAATCTAAAATTGAATTCAATTAAATTAATATGACCCGTTGCACAGGAGGTGGCTCTCGTGGCCCAAATGGTCTAGTGGATAACGCTTTGGGGTTTGAAACTATGGGCACTGGGTTCGAACCTCAGTGGGGACAATATCACTCACTCACTGTGAAATGCAGGCACATCCAGATGAAGAGTCCCAAATAGGGTGAAGTGCACACCCTGGATTCTGAGGCTAGTCAGTCACCATCCACCATTAGTATTATTGTTTGCTCTCTCCGCCTTGAATGTTTATTGCAATTTTCCATATTTCCAGTGTCATTTCAATTGCATGTGTTTTTTAAGATGTTGATTCCGCTGAACAAAAATTCCGTGATTAACCTGTCTCTCTCCATCTAACTATATTATACTTACTAATACTTCCATAGCCCTATCCCACCCTATCGTGTGATTATACATATGTGAACAATGCATTAGCGATGGTTGAGCTTGTTTCCAGGTTATTTGACTCACACACAAAGACAAAGACAAGATTTTTCGACTTAAGAACCCGATAGATCGAATTCGGAAAGGAAATAACATAATTTACTAAATACCATGCAATGACTGTGAACATAAGAATTTACCTAGACGCTAGAATTATTCACACTGCTAAGACAAATAATCTCTAAAAGAACCTCAGCCATTGCTAATGCATTCATCACTTGCATGTAATTAAACAATAACCTGGGATAGGATGAAAGTATTAAAGAATAATATAGTTAGGTATAGAAAGAGAGAGAGAGAGAGAGGTTAATCACTGAATCTTTGTTCATCAGAATCAACAACTAGAAAAAAAACACGTGCGCAATCGAAATGACGCAACGCCAATATACTGGAAAATATGGAAAATTACAATAAACAACAAAAGGGGGAGAGCAAAAACACACATAAAGGAAATTATCGAAGCCTTATGAATACAATGATATGATTGTCAGCGATAAATTCTACTTAACACGTCATCCAGTTGTTAATACTGTATTAAATACACTCATCGAATATGAAATTATATTCTATGATAGTGCCTACAGTCTATGCTTACAAGTTTACCCTGTATTGCAGAGGACAGCTTAAGAGAAATCTATGAATCTCTGGAGTATACGTTATATCTGGTCCGCCGCTACTTATCAAAGGAGGTGTTTACTGCTCTGCAGTTTGCTCTGTTCTTCTTTATGACTGTGAAACGTGGTCACACTGAAAGTAGAAGACATGAAAAGGTTGACTAAATCTGACCATAGGCTTCTGAGTTCTATTTTTCCCACGTTATGTCGTTTTATAGTGTGAGTAATGTTGAGGTTAGAAGTCGAGTGTTGGGTGAGGGTGTTTAAAATCAAGTCACAACATCAAGAAGAAACCATCATCAAAGACTTCAAGAAAATTCATCCTACCATATATCAGAAAAAATACCTCTGAAATAACACCTGGAATATTAAGACCGTTTGAAATAGATGCACCACACAAGCCAGCTAACACAATCACTTCATTCGATATTGTGCAAGCCGAAAGATCCAACAGAAAAAGAAGATAAAATCAATACCATTTACAAAATAAATTGCATGAACTGCAATAATAAACATTACATCAGTCCTCTTCGAATTCGAATCCAAAAACACAAATTGGTTATCAAAAGGCATGATAGATATTCTTTCATATCAATTCATGTAGATAATTATGGACATCAATTCGATGATTAGGAGAATGTCGAAATTTTAAACAGAGGAAACACCGAAAGTGATGCCAGAGAATTCCTAGAAGTATGGTACTCAAGTTAATAGAAAAGTAAATCATGTGATAAGAAAATTCAAATTCCAAGTCAATAAAAAAAGATCAATACAGATGTAAATTGACTACCAGTCATGAAGATGGTTACCAGGAGACACAATTCTATGATTCATGGAGAATTTAAATCAGTTCATTTTATGCTAAAACTTGCGCTGAATGAAGATGTTGTCTAGGAGAGGGACGACGAAAGCTCTACAATTAAACCAACTAATTCAGAGAACACAACCAACTGCATATCCTACTGTTTGTTCCCAAAACATGCCTAATACCATACCGTGAGATAGATGCATGCTGGACAAAGCCTATCTATCCATCTCTAAACATAAATGTTAATGAGCACAGAGTTTAAGTTGACACAACCAATAAAATAAGGTGTGCAATAAATTACTGTCTCCACAGCAGCATGCTAAACAAAGTGCAATTTTGAAAACAATAAAATAATACTTTACACAAATGAAATTTAAGGCCCACTACAAAAAGTACCTACCTTATCAGATGTAGAAGAAGTGGAACTGGTACTATCCTGTGATCCTTGAGATACAATAGGATCAGTTACTTTTCGAGACATGTCTCTACTGACACTGAAATCAAAATGAAGAAGAAAATAAAGTAAGTACACAATAAAACAAAAGGCATGCGCATATATCTACTGGGGAAATAATGCTATACTGTGTCTCGAGCGCTACTGACAAGATTTATAAGTAGTATATGAATGCAGATTCATGAGAAGCAGTCAAAACAGAAAACGACACTTTAAGACAATGGCTGGCTGACTGGCTGCAGAGGTAGAGATGTTCTTTTCTTTAAATCCCGATTTAGTTATTACTATGGTCAGGAAATAAACTCACTAGACAAATTTTCGCTCCAACGTTAAACCTTCGGAAAATAGACAACTAATCAGAAGAGAAGTTTGTTATCAACTGACCTTAGTTGTGGATAAAAATGTATAAATATGGTGTGTTTTCCTTTAACAGATAAGTCTGTTGGCAAGTCTCCTGCCTAATCCCGTTACAATACCAACCAAAGTGAATCATGTGGATGATTAATGTCTCATGTCGCATATACCATCAAGTTGGTAGGGGAGGCGACAAACAGACAAGACCTTCAGGTGAATACGTACGTAGTGAAGACAGAAGTGATGATTATTATTACTGTTTCCTTTAATTACTAGAGGAGCATTGGGCTTCAGCCACATGTCTCCATTGCGTTCAGTTGTCTGCCGACGTCTTCACCTGGCTACACGTCTGACCACATGATTTCATCTCCTCTTCAAATGACCTCTTCAGTGTCAACCTCACACTGACGACCAACTTGCCGCTTCCTCTTCAGGTTCCACTCGAGCGATGGCCTGGCGTGTGATGTCACTCACTTGACTGTTTGCTTTCTCAAAGTATGGCCAGCCAATCCACCTCCATTTCTTCCTGCCTATTTGTTGCACAATCGGTTCCTGCTGGGTTGGTTTGCTAATTGACAGAGATCCCTCCCTGTTGCCGATCATTTCTGGCCGGTCATCTGATCTTCAGCGAAGACACTTGTTGATTCAAGGCTGTAATTTGCTTGAGATGCTTTTCATGAAAACAGAAGTGATGAAGATACCAAACCAACAACAGCAGCATCAACAGAAGAAGTCTAGAGGAAGTTTTGGCCTTTCACTTCCCTGAATTGAGCACCATTTGTTTTAACTACAGACAGCACTGATGACGAGGAGGATATGTCAAAGCCAGATACAATCGGAAAAGCAAGAGAGCAGTTAATTGCTCTGAAATCAGCTTAGGAATCACAAAAACACTAAGCATAAAAAATAAGATTTGAATTTCTAATACTCATGTCTAGTCAATATTTTTATTTAAAATTCAGATACTTGACATACTCGTATCACTAAAAGCATTTCGAATAGGACAATGTAGGCTTTTATCAATCAGCTGTAGCTGCTTCCGGTTGACGGGAAAGAATGAACAATAAACAAATCTGGGGCAGTAGTCAACCATTAGTCAACAACCTGTTATGTTACTCAACAAATAGGCAGAAACAAATTGACATGGATTGGACGTCATACTCTGGGTAGACTTTCACATCAAATGAGTAGTTGGCGATGGGCAGAGACACGTTAATAAACATTTTTCATAAGACAAAAGGACTCTTCAATTAGATCCTCATCCCTGATTCTACTCTAATACACATATGGTATTTTTGATACAATACAAAAAAATATTTTAATTGATTGAAGATGCCCTTTGGAAATTTCAATAGATTCATTACTTGAACGAAGATTTTTTGATAACCTCTTCTTCAACAGGTTCTACAGTTATATATCCATCCATTACAATGAAAGAATGATTGGTATTGACAACATCAGTGGTTTTTAAGAAACAATAACATCCAATCACACTTAGATCAGAATTCCAAAAGTTATTCACGATTAGATTGTTCTGTAGGGGGGGCTTTGTTTGATTGCATGGAGGATTTCATCATGAGCTGACGTCAGTTAAAGAACCACTGGAAAACCCGGGAGTACCGTTTCGTCTTAGTTTGGGGCCCTTCATCAGTACTCACCAACCCCACTGGGGTTCGAACCCAGGACCTCCTGGTTACAAGGCGAGCCCGTAGACCATTGAGCCACTGGGACCCAATCCAATGGCTAGCCCGTGAATTCTAAATTCTGTTAATCCACCACATAGCACGACCCCTACCAATATTGAATTCTATCTTATCAAATTTCACACCATGTTATTTAACATTTTATATTCGTCTACTGATCTTATAATTATGTACCCCTTTCCAAAATCTATACACCCGTCTTATGTGTTATTCTATATGTGACATTGATTGTTTAGCCACTTGACACTAAACTATAATTATAATCACAAATATTTTAATAGCATTTCATACTATTATTATTATTGTTATTATTTCATGTATTCACAATTAAAAGTGGCTAGTCTACATACTTCATCCTTCAATCGAGGATTCACAACCAGTCGTGTAGAAAATAATAACTTGTAGTTAACCTGCATTAAAAGTACTTCGAATGGATTTGCTTAACTTGCTAGCAATTATTTCACTAGGTGTGTCACCCTTCTTTCTTTCATTATGGACACATGTAACTTTAGAACCTGATGAAGAAGAGGTTATCGAAAAGAATAGTCTTTGTTGTGTGATCAAGTGGCGATAAGTTTGTTAACAATAATTAGTCAATATCAACACAGTAAGTGCGTGTGTGGGAGGGGGGGGTAACAATTAAATCAAGAAAATTAGTACAAACAATGAAAATTTAGAAATGATTGCATGAAGTGGATTGCCAATTATGTAAAAAAAAGCAAGTACAGATGAAGGAAAAACACACAGTTTTTTTGGTTCAGTGAAGAAATATCTCTTTTCAACGACTTCATTTTCAAGCTGTACAGCTAACTGTATTTATATTACTGAAAAAGGTATTCAGTGGCATTAAAGATTGCTCAATCAATATACACATGTGATACGAATAAAGATAATTGAAATGATGTTGTACTAAGAGGGTTGAGTTGAAGTAAATGAATTATAAAACTTTTAGTGATTATTAAATAAGTGAATTGGTGTTAAGATTTCAAAAACAGTAGGTCAAGTGTTATCTAAAACAATTTGATACAATAGAATTCAATATTGTAAAAACAAAATAATAATTTTGGATTTTGAATGACAAATGGGACAAGTGGAAACAATTCAGAGTGAGAATAATGATAATGATAATAATAATCGTAGTAATAAGAGGAAAGTACATAGAATAACTAAATAAACAAAATAAATAAATGTCTACCTCTCTACGGCCTAGGCAGAAGTAGGGAGTGTACATACTTCTTTTGTACACAAAGGTCTGGCTTGAAGTGTTGAATTTCCAAGGCCTCCGCTATCTTTAGAAGTCTACAACGAAGAAAACGTGGCAAGTTAGCCTGGATTCGCCATATGACCTTAAAATCATGGTCAGGGATGACAGAAGCCCATCAGGTGTACCAGGGCAATTCATGACTTTAAGTCAGACTTTTGTGTACAAAAGAAGTATGTACAATCCCTACTTCTGCCTTGGCTGTAGAGGGATAGACATTTATTTTTTTAAATTTAGTTATTCTATGTACTTTTCCCTTATCACTACGATTATTATTATTATTACTATTCTCAACCTGAATCTTTTCCACCTGACCCACTTGTCATTTTAAACCCAAAATTATTAATTTTTTATTTTTACAATAATGAATTCTATCTTATCAAATTTTACACCATGTTGCGTAACATTTTATATTCGTCTACTAATCTTATAATTATGTACCCCTTTCCAAAATCTATACACCCGTCTTATGTATTATTATATATATGTCATTAATTATTTTGCCACTTGACATTGAACTATGATTATAATCACAAATATTTCGAATCCCGGTGGGTGCGTGCTGATGAAGAGTCCCAAACTAGGACGAAACAGCTGTCCAGTACTCCCAGGTTTTCCAATGGTTCTCTAACTAATGTCAGCTCATGATGAAATCCTGAAACCAATCAAATCCCTACAAACCAACACTTGAATACAAATATTTCAATTGCATTTCATGCTACTATTATTTCATGTATTCACACCTTTGACCTAATTCCCTCACCGGATATAATTTCTTACAAAAAAACCCACAGATATGATTGTACAGCTTGATAATAAATTCGTAGAAAAGAATCTCTCCACTGAATATTGTGTTCTTAAAACGTTTCTGAACACATAATTTAGGTTTCTGTCCATGTATAACTAGAGCTTCGGCTGCGTATAAGTGGAGAAAACGTAAGCTTTTGAAGTGGTTATATTTGGTCCTATAGAAAACCTTAAAGAACAAATCACGTGTGGTGGTGGGAGTGATATGTAGTCACATGATGTCTGTTTTGGTTTTGACAGTCTGTTCTATTTTGCTATTCCATTATAATTGACAATATGCTTTTGTCTGTCCATTAACTAAATAAACAATGTATGACCTTTTTATCACATGACATTACAACTAATCAGAATCCAATGTGGGTAAGGTAAACTACCTATCTGTCTTATTGGTTCATGTATATTAGTCATTTTCATATATACTTTTTTATTGTACACTTTTATATACACTTGTTCACACACGTCGTACACTACGTACCCTTCACTCACACACTTGTGTGACTGTCAATTTCCTTTGTTAGAAATACACGTGTCATCGTGAACGTGGTGGTCTTCTGATTTCCTCTTTCCGCGTCAGAACTATTAACCACTCAGCAGTACATAACAGAAAAGGGAGGTTGAATGACCTTACTACTACTCTACAAGGTGTTCACAAATTGAAGACTTTATCTTCCTTTGCTCATCTTTCATTAAACAAACCGAGTGGTAGTGTTCAGCTTACGCGTTTACGGAGAACACGCTTACAATGTCCAATTTACTACTCAGCTCTACACGAGCATGTCAACTGAGTATATGCACATAGAGAGTGACAATGATAACTTGTAAAAGGGGCTTAAAGGGGAGAGGGTGAAACTGTCAGACTTTTTTGACATTCCTGTATCTATGACCAAGGGGTAAGGAAAGTGGCTGAACAAATTT